TACAGAAATTTAGGTATCTGGGCACATGGATAACATCAGATGGAAGATGCATAACTGAAATAAGAAACAGAATTGGACAGGCAAAAACTGCATTTTATAAAATGAAAAACATCTTGTGCAATATATCCTTGTCATTGAGAGTTAGAAAAAGAATTCTTGCTTGCTACATACATCCAGTTTTAACATATGGATGTGAATCCTGGACAATCGGTAGGCAGGCCAAACAATTTTTATAGGCCTCAGAGATGCGGTTTTACAGAAGAATGCTTAGAATACCTTGGACAGCCAAAAAGAGCAACCAAGAGGTTTTAAAAGAGGCGGGAGACCGAAGACAACTTATCACTGACATCAGAAGGAGACAGTCATCATTTTTCGGCCATGTTATGAGAAGGGGGAAAATAGAACATGTTGTGACCACTGGAAAGATCTGTGGAAGGAGGGATAGAGGAAGACAACGAGAGAAGATGCTTGACAGTCTTGTTGCATTTCATGGAGGTGTGTCGGCACACGAACTGATACATGCTGCAGGAGATCGCGGATTATGGAGAGGCATGATCGCCCACGCCAGTCGGCAAGGCACCTGATGATGATGATGAAGTGTCCACGTTTGGCATTGATAGCATAGTGTTGGCCAAAAAATAGTTATGATTAAGATTCGCTTTAGTACTCCGGTGAATATGCTTGTGTGTCAACAGTGGAGATAGTTGTCCCATTACTTGATTAGCTTTGGCACATTTCGAGCTAATTTCTCTGTCCAATTTTCTGTCGGATGTGAAATTGCTCCCAAATACTTAAATTCCTCTGTTTGTCTTAATGTGTTTATTTTTAAATTTAATTTCTTGTCTTTCTGTCTTCCTATCACAATTGTCTCTGTCTTCATTTTCTTATTTTATTCATCCCCTTTGTTACTAATTTGATTTATGTGGTTCTGTAGGCATTCCGTACGTTTTGCTATAATTTCCTGGTCGTCGCCGGATAGTAATTCTTTTTCTTCTGCGTTTATCCGAAGATGTAATTGCGTTATGTCCGTTTTCAGCATGGCTGCGATATTTGCACCTTTCGCCCGACACATCCGACTTTAGTCTATGGGCGGTAATTGTATAGATCATCAATACCTGTCGCCTTTAGTCTAGGGGCGGTAACTGTAACTGACACAGAGATATTGAGAAACGCGAAGGTATGCTCGGCCTGCATCGCTTTAAAGGTCCCGGGTAGTTAGCGTCATTTTGATATTTTCTCCAGATGATGCGGATGTTTCGGAAACGAGCAGTCAGATAGACTGGCTGGTTCTGCACCACTTATAGTGAACTGATGCATGACAAGCGAGTCATATGGAAACGAGCAGTCAGATAGACTGGCTGGTTCTCACAGTGAACTGATGTATGACAAGCGAGTCATATGGAAACGAGCAGTCAGATAGACTGGCTGGTTCTGCACCACTCACAGTGAACTGATGTATGACAAGCGAGTCATATGGAAACGAGCAGTCAGATAGACTGGCTGGTTCTCACAGTGAACTGATGTATGACAAGCGAGTCATATGGAAACGAGCAGTCAGATAGACTGGCTGGTTCTGCACCACTCACAGTGAACTGATGTATGACAAGCGAGTCATATGGAAACGAGCAGTCAGATAGACTGGCTGGTTCTCACAGTGAACTGATGTATGACAAGCGAGTCATATGGAAACGAGCAGTCAGATAGACTGGCTGGTTCTCACAGTGAACTGATGTATGACAAGCGAGTCATATGGAAACGAGCAGTCAGATAGACTGGCTGGTTCTGCACCACTTATAGTGAACTGATGTATGACAAGCGAGTCATATGGAAGCGAGTGAACAGTGCGGAGGAACAGATAGATCACTACGATCTGAGGAGAATGGCGCTGCGAGGAGTTTACCAGGAGATCTGACCGAGGCTCAACACTCCGTGAACGAACGAACGAACTTTATTTTTTAAGGGTTACAAATTAGGCACTCAGGCCTGTCTTACATTCGGCCCTTCCAAAGTCCCATCTTTCACATAGCAGTTGTTGAAAAGGCCAGATGGATCTACAGTCAGACAGATACTGGTGCCATTGAAACTGGAATTCTGCACTTGCTGCTAAAGATGGAGACGGAGCGCTTGTGTGTATGTCTCGAGAGCTATGACGTAGGTTCTTAATTCAACGTTTAATGTACCGTATTTAATTTACTGTTTTCCAGAATTTTGTAATTGATATAACTTTTTATGGTGTTGAACTAGATTTCAGCGATTTTTACCTGTTTGATTCTTATAATTGAGGTGTTAATCCTAGAGACTGTAATCCTGAAAGAGAAAAACTACCTACCTTACCCCATCACATGAGTAGGCAATTTCGGCGACCCCACCCCTGGTATTTTTCCCAGGTTGAAAAACACCAGTCTACGAGACGCCAGGTGTCAGGTGTTCGATCTCCAGAAAATGGTCACTGCTGGCGGGGAAACCTGGCATAGCAGGCGACAACAAGATGGCGGCCAGGAGCAAGGAGACGAGGGACAGACTCGACCCGACAACGACAGCAGATCTCCCGGCTATCTCATCAGGTATCTATTTCTGTATCACTTTCTTTTGGGTCATTTCCACGAGTGCGGTTTTCACAGCCATCCTGAGCCGTCACAGGAAGTGTGGATTGGATGCGTTGTGTAACGTTGAAAGTGGCCAAATAATTTATTATTCATCATTGCTGATTTTTTACCAGCACAGCAGGCCACACATTATAAAGCTTTTTCCAACGGTACCTCAGTCATGTCTGTGTGTCAGTTCTAAGCCGAACTATTTAAGTTTGTGTGGAAGAATTGAATTAAGAATAAAAAGAACAAAATAAAAGTGAAGTAATCTCTTTCAGATGATTGTCAGGTATTTGTCTGTGGCAGACATGTATTGCCAGGAGTTTGTCTATGACAGTGATGTGTTGTCAGGTATTTGTCTGTGACAGTGATATATTGTCAGGTATTTGTCTGTGACAGTGATATATTGTCAGGTATTTGTCTGTGACAGTGATGTGTTGTCAGGTATTTGTCTGTGACAGTGATATATTGTCAGGTATTTGTCTGTGACAGTGATATATTGTCAGGTATTTGTCTGTGACAGTGATGTATTGTCAGGTATTGGTCTGTGACAGTGATATATTGTCAGGTATTTGTCTGTGACAGTGATGTATTGTCAGGTATTTGTCTGTGACAGTGATATATTGTCAGGTATTGGTCTGTGGCAGACATGTATTGCCAGGAGTTTGTCTGTGACAGTGATGTATTGTCAGGTATTTGTCTGTGGCAGACATGTATTGCCATAAATTTGTCTGTGACAGTGATATATTGTCAGGTATTGGTCTGTGGCAGACATGTATTGCCAGGAGTTTGTCTATGACAGTGATATATTGTCAGGTATTTGTCTGTGGCAGACATGTATTGCCATGAGTTTGTCTGTGACAGTGATATATTGTCAGGTATTGGTCTGTGGCAGACATGTATTGCCAGGAGTTTGTCTATGACAGTGATATATTGTCAGGTATTGGTCTGTGGCAGACATGTATTGCCATAAATTTGTCTGTAGCAGACATGTATTGCCATGAGTTTGTCTGTGACAGTGATATATTGTCAGGTATTTGTCTGTGGCAGACATGTATTGCCAGGAGTTTGTCTGTGACAGTGATATATTGTCAGGTATTGGTCTGTGGCAGACATGTATTGCCAGGAGTTTGTCTGTGACAGTGATATGTTGTCAGGTATTGGTCTGTGGCAGACATGTATTGCCAGGAGTTTGTCTGTGACAGTGATATGTTGTCAGGTATTGGTCTGTGGCAGACATGTATTGCCAGGAGTTTGTGACAGTGATGTGTTGTCAGGAGTTTGTGACAGTGATGTGTTGTCAGGAGTTTGTGACAGTGATGTATTGCCAGGAGTTTGTGACAGTGATGTATTGCCAGGAGTTTGTCTATGACAGTGATATATTGTCAGGTATTTGTCTGTGGCAGTGATATATTGTCAGGTATTTGTCTGTGACAGTGATATATTGTCAGGTATTTGTCTGTGACAGTGATGTGTTGTCAGGTATTTGTCTGTGACAGTGATATATTGTCAGGTATTTGTCTGTGACAGTGATATATTGTCAGGTATTTGTCTGTGACAGTGATATATTGTCAGGTATTTGTCTGTGACAGTGATATATTGTCAGGTATTGGTCTGTGGCAGACATGTATTGCCAGGAGTTTGTGACAGTGATGTGTTGTCAGGAGTTTGTGACAGTGATGTATTGCCAGGAGTTTGTGACAGTGATGTGTTGTCAGGAGTTTGTGACAGTGATGTGTTGTCAGGAGTTTGTGACAGTGATGTATTGCCAGGAGTTTGTGACAGTGATGTATTGCCAGGAGTTTGTGACAGTGATGTGTTGTCAGGAGTTTGTGACAGTGATGTATTGCCAGGAGTTTGTGACAGTGATGTGTTGTCAGGTATTTGTCTGTGGCAGACATGTGTTGCCATGAGTTTGTCTGTGACAGTGATATATTGTCAGGTATTTGTCTGAGGCAGACATGTATTGCCATGAGTTTGTCTGTGACAGTGATGTATTGTCAGGTATTTGTCTGTGGCAGACATGTATTGCCATGAGTTTGTCTGTGACAGTGATGTATTGTCTGGTATTGGTCTGTGGCAGACATGTATTGCCATAAATTTGTCTGTGGCGGACATGTGTTGCCATGAGTTTGTCTGTGACAGTGATGTATTGTCTGGTATTGGTCTGTGGCAGACATGTATTGCCATAAATTTGTCTGTGGCGGACATGTGTTGCCATGAGTTTGTCTGTGACAGTGATGTATTGTCAGGTATTGGTCTGTGGCAGACATGTATTGCCAGGAGTTTGTCTATGACAGTGATGTATTGTCAGGAGTTTGTCTGTAACAGACATTTCTTAATGTTACGTCTATCTTTTCAGATGTACACAGTAACAGGGCATATGACAGCAATAAGACAGACTTCTCAGAAATGAAAGACAAGACATTAGAATACTCACAGATCAGAGAAGCAAACCACACCGACCGCCTGGCACCTACAGGTAGCACCAGAAGGGCCTTGTTGATTCTGGCACTGATATTTGTGGGCGCTCTGGTGGCCTTGGCGGCAGTCTACTCCAGCTTCCCACAACTGGAGGAGTAAGTGTGCTTGTGTGTGTGATGTCATGCACCCTGGCTGTGCTGAATGACATGGCGTCATGTGACAGTCATCATGTGTGAGATTGGTGTATGTTGTTGTGTCTACCTGTCTGTGTGTGTTGGTCTGTCTCATGTTGTGTAGAGATAGAACTTTGGAATGCTCTGACCCACTCAGATTGTGCAGTATCATTTTGTAGAGTCTGTCCTATATTTATTATCCTCTGTGATATTATTTCTGTCAGTTATTGACACACAAATGGGGGGGGGGGGGGGGGGGTTGTCTCGTTCAACCCGTTTTTTTGTTGTTGTGGGCTTTGATTATATTTGAGACTTTTGATTGTGTTGATTGAACTTGACCTAATTTTTTAGTGGCATATGGATATGCCTGATTTTTTTTTCTGTCATGCCACCAATATCTGTCTTGGTTCAGGTCAGCGCAATTTTTTTTTCTGTTTGTGTGTAAGAGGCTGGTAGTTTGCTGTCTGTCATGCTCCTACTACGCCTTCACTGTGATATCATGTCTTTGACTGTTGCCACTGTGCTTATGAGCTCCCACAGATATCTTCCTTTTTTGTGTGTTTTAAAGGCATCAGATATATGTGATGCATAAAACAGAGGGGGGAAGAGGGGGGGGGGGGGGCAACAGGTAAAAAGGATCAATTAAAAAAAATCCAGGCTCCATGGGTTGAACATAAGAAGGGAGGAAGGACAAATCAATGTTGATTTCCCAAAGAAGAGGAAATCAAAACTACAGGATCTGCAGTCATCAATCCCTAGGACTGGCATATCATGGATGATGCATACACCACGGGTGTCCTGTCTCAGGTAGGTTCTCCTGGCTTGTTCTGCTTTTGCACTGTTTCCTCAGTATCTGTACTTCTCAGTTTCTGTTTATGGGCAAGCAGTCTGTGTCTCCTAATTATCCGCCTACTTTTTTGTCTTTCTAGACTGGTGATGCTGGAGATAGTGCAGCTGCTGGCTGTATGACCCGTGCTGCATGTTCTGGGTCTCTTCAGGCTCACACAGGGCTGTACACATTGTATGTACGGGTTACAGTTTGTCACTTGTTCCCTCCCTTCAGGCTCACACAGGGTTGTACACATTGTATGTACGGGTTACAGTTTGTCACTTGTTCCCTCCCTTCAGGCTCACACAGGGCTGTACACATTGTATGTACGGGTTACAGTTTGTCACTTGTTCCCTCCCTTCAGGCTCACACAGGGTTGTACACATTATATGTACGGGTTACAGTTTGTCACTTGTTCCCTCCCTTTAGGCTCACACAGGGTTGTACACATTGTATGTATGGGTTACAGTTTGTCACTTGTTCCCTCCCTTTAGGCTCACACAGGGTTGTACACATTGTATGTAAGGGTTAGTTTGTCACTTGTTCCCTCCCTTTAGGCTCACAGAGGGTTGTACACATTGTATGTACGGGTTACAGTTTGTCACTTGTTCCCTCCCTTTAGGCTTACACAGGGTTGTACACATTGTATGTATGGGTTACAGCTTGTCAGTAATTCCCTCCCTTCAGGGTGGCTCATGCAGGGTTGTACACATTGTATGTACAGGTTACAGCTTGTCACTAATTCCCTCCCTTCAGGCTCATGCAGGGTTGCACACATTGTATGTACGGTTACAGCATGTCACTAATTCCCTCCCTTCAGGCTCATGCAGGGTTGTACACATTTTATGTACAGGTTACAGCTTGTCACTAATTCCCTCCCTTCAGGCTCACCCAGGGTGGCTCATGCAGGGTTGTACACATTGTATGTACAGGTTACAGCCCGTCCACTGTTCAGCGTTCTAAGCACAGAATCCAGCACATCTGTACGGATCTGCTTGGCCCCAGTTTTTGTTGACGTTTGTTTCTGGTCACTTTCAGGCATGAACTGCAACATATCAAGTTGCCCCGCAATATAGAGGACGCCAAGAATCTAGGCCAACTGCTGCACCGCTACAAGGACAAATATTTCTACCAGGTGTTGCTGGGATATTTTGTGGTGTTTATTTTGTATCCTTTTATTGGTCTACTTATGAACTAAAAGTAATCATGTGTAAGATGACAGGTTAAAGTTTGTGTGGCCACATGCCACCAGTACTTATAAACTAACTGTAGTCATGTGTAAGATGACAGGTTAAAGTTTATGTGGCCACATGCCACCAGTACTTATAAACTAACTGTAGTCATGTGTAAGATGACAGGTTAAAGTTTGTGTGGCCACATGCCACCAGTACTTATAAACTAACTGTAGTCATGTGTAAGATGACAGGTTAAAGTTTATGTGGCCACATGCCACCAGTACTTATAAACTAACTGTAGTCATGTGTAAGATGACAGGTTAAAGTTTATGTGCCCACATGCCACCAGTACTTATGAACTAACTGTAGTCATGTGTAAGGTGACAGGTTAGAGTAAATGTGAGCACATGACACATGTTTATTTTTGATAGTCTAGAACTCTTGCTCATTTTTGTACCACCCAGACCAGGTCGTACCTCTCTTCTTTCACTCCTGGCCATTGCTGTTTTCTTTCTCTCAAAATATTTGATCTTTTCCTGTCTTAGGCACATTATTTTCTCTCTCAGGCCTTTTAATTCCCAGTGTGGATTCTAGGACCCCATTTGAGTTCATGGGTCCCAGTGTGGGTTCCAGGCTCCCAGTGTGGTGGGGAAAACTAGAATGGACTCACTGCTCCCCCACAAGGATGTTATAAGAGTCAAATAATTGTGCGCATCATTTGAAGTCAGTGTACCTCTGCCTGAGAGGCAGGAAACCAACAGTCTCCATGCAAATAAGCCAGATCTGTAAATCTAAACAAGACGCAGAGTCCTGAGGTGGATGAACAAGAAGAACTTTACGTCAGAGTTTACAACCAGAAAAGTTCTTTTCATAATGTTGCTCCTCTCATACCAGATCAATGCTGGGGTCACCTGTAACATATTGTAGCTGTCAGTTGACAGATTGTAGCTATCATGGTGATAACATGTAGGGCTGTACCGAATATTCGCTTCGTATTCGCTTCGGGGCCGAATAGTGGACCCAATAACTATTCGGTATTCGGTCGAATAGTTGCGGTCGGGCCGAATACGAATAGTGGTTACCTCACAACCGTTTCTGGACTGGTGAAAAAAAAAAAACATCAAGACTTCCCACCTTGGTTTATACTGTGAAGCGTTATCTTTGTGCACCACCTACGAGCGTACCAAGTGCCCCTTTATTTCCATCTTGCATGTGTTGCGAGTATAGTGTTTTTAGGTGTGTTGCTGTAGAAACAAAATACAACACTTAAAAATGTAAGAGGGGCAGAAAAGCAAGTGTTCTAGTGTTGTCGGCTTGATTTCTTTGAGTGGAGTGTCCTCTTCGTTGATTCTTTGAAGTAACGGGAGTTCGTCATCATTTATGGGTGTCGTATCTGTTCTTTCGTCATCTCGTGGAAACGGCAGCGGCTGAATATTTTGATCGACGTTCGGTTTCTTGATTGTCTTTGTTGTTTGATCTTCTGGTGTTGGCCGCCCGGCGTCTGGTTTCGTGAGCTCGCGGGGGGGGGGGGGGGGGGGGGGGCTGGGTGACTTGTAAGGACGGCATTGTTTTCGTCGTCGGCGTTATTTTTGTTTTTGATGTTTCGCCTTGCGGGTTTTCATTTTGACTCTCTGTATTTGTCGTATTTTCCTGTTTAGTACAGCTGGAAATACCTTCAGTGAGACAAAAAGCTGGCCTAATGCTGACAACATGGTTTTTCATGGAGGTGTGTCAGCACACGAACTAATACATGCTGCAGGAGATCGCAGATTGTGGCGAGGCATAATCGCCCATGCCAGAAGGCAAAGCACATAATGATGATGATTCACTATTCGTTTTCGGTCGAATAGTTAGTCCAGCTATTCGTATTCAGCCGAATAGTGAAAATCACTATTCGGTACAGCCCTAATAACATGTTTCTGTAGAAGATTAATGCTGGGGTAATATAACATTGACAGACTACTGATTGGTAATGTAACATTGACAGACTACTGATTGGTAATGTAACATTGACAGACTACTGATTGGTAATATAACATTGACAGACTACTGATTGGTAATGTAACATTGACAGACTGTTGATTGGTAATGTAACATTGACAGACTGTTGATTGGTAATGTAACATTGACAGACTGTTGATTGGTAATGTAACATTGACAGACTACTGATTGGTAATGTAACATTGACAGACTACTGGTAATGTAACATTGACAGACTACTGATTGGTAATATAACATTGACAGACTACTGATTGGTAATATAACATTGACAGACTACTGATTGGTAATGTAACATTGACAGACTACTGATTGGTAATGTAACATTGACAGACTGTTGATTGGTAATGTAACATTGACAGACTACTGATTGGTAATGTAACATTGACAGACTACTGATTGGTAATGTAACATTGACAGACTGTTGATTGGTAATGTAACATTGACAGACTGTTGATTGGTAATGTAACATTGACAGGCTACTGATTGGTAATGTAACATTGACAGACTGTTGATTGGTAATGTAATATTGACAGACTGCAGATTGGTAATGTAACATTGACAGACTTCTGATTGGTAATGTAACATTGACAGACTACTGATTGGTAATGTAATATTGACATACTGTAATGTAACATTGACAGACTACTGATTGGTAATGTAGCATTGACAGACTGTTGATTGGTAATGTAACATTGACAGATTGTTGATTGGTAATGTAACATTGACAGACTACTGATTGGTAATGTAACATTGACAGACTGTTGATTGGTAATGTAATATTGACAGACTGCAGATTGGTAATGTAACATTGACAGACTGCTGATTGGTAATGTAACATTGACAGACTGCTGATTGGTAATGTAACATTGACAGACTGTTGATTGGTAATGTAACATTGACAGACTGCTGATTGGTAATGTAACATTGACAGACTGTTGATTGGTAATGTAACATTGACAGACTACTGATTGGTAATATAACATTGACAGACTACTGATTGGTAATGTAACATTGACAGACTGTTGATTGGTAATGTAATATTGACAGACTGCAGATTGGTAATGTAACATTGACAGACTACTGATTGGTAATGTAACATTGACAGACTGCAGATTGGTAATGTAATATTGACAGACTGCAGATTGGTAATGTAACATTGACAGACTTTTGATTGATAATGTACCATTGACAGACTGTTGATTGGTAATGTAACATTGACAGACTGCTGTTTGGTAATGTAACATTGACAGATTGCTGATTGGTAATGTAACATTGACGGACTACTGATTGGTAATATAACATTGACAGACTACTGATTGGTAATGTAACATTGACAGACTGTTGATTGATAATGTAACATTGACAGACTGTTTATTGGTAATGTAACATTGACAGATTGCTGATTGGTAATGTAACATTGACAGATTGCTGATTGGTAATGTAACATTGACAGACTGTTGATTGGTAATGTAACATCGACAGACTGTTGATTGGTAATGTAACATTGACATATTGCTGATTGGTAATGTAACATTGACAGATTGCTGATTGGTAATGTAACATTGACAGACTGTTGATTGGTAATGTAACATTGACAGACTGTTGATTGGTAATGTAACATCGACAGACTGTTGATTGGTAATGTAACATTGACAGATTGCTGATTGGTAATGTAACATTGACAGATTGCTGATTGGTAATGTAACATTGACAGACTGTTGATTGGTAATGTAACATTGACAGATTGCTAATTGGTAATGTAACATTGACAGACTGCTGATTGGTAATGTAACATTGACAGACTGCTGATTGGTAATGTGACATTGACAGATTGCTGATTGGTAATGTAACATTGACAGACTGCTGATTGTGTGGGTGTGGCCACCATATGTCTGTCAGCAGTCACTTAAGTGTGGGTGTGGCCACCATATGTCTGTCAGCAGTTACCTAAGTGTGGGTGTTGACACCATGTCTGTCAGCCGTCACTTAAGTGTTGGTGTTGCCACCATGTCTGTCAGCCGTCACTTAAGTGTTGGTGTTGCCACCATGTCTGTCAGCAGTCACTTAATTGTGGGTGTTGCCACCATGTCTGTCAGTTGCCACCATGTCTGTCAGCAGTCACTTAAGTGTGGGTGTTGCCACCATGTCTGTCAGTTGCCATCATGACTGCCAGCAGTCACTTAAGTGTGGGTGTTGCCACCATGTCTGTCAGTTGCCACCATGACTGCAAGCAGTCACTTAAGTATGGGTGTTGCCACCATGTCTGTCAGCAGTCACTTAAGTGTGGGTGTTGCCACCATGCATGTCAGTTGCCACCATGTCTGTCAGTTGCCACCATGTCTGTCAGCAGTCACTCAAGTGTGGGTGTTGCCACCATGTCTGTCAGCAGTCACTTAAGTGTGGGTGTTCTAGCTACATCTTTCAGCAGTTTCCCGGCTGACTGCTTTTCCCAGCAACAGTTCATTTGTCTGTGTTTCCACTTGTCTGTGTGCATGTTCTTTTATTTCATGTGAAACAGGCGGTACATATTGTTTCAGAAACAGCATGCATGCTTATGTTTCAGTGTGTGTGCATGCATGTTCCCAATATTTCATGGACAGCAGACACCACACACACTTACTGATCCGGCAAGATTATTTTCTTCACCCAAATCTCAGTCTGCAGACATTTGCAATACCAGGATCCATATTTCTCAGCATCATCTCTGGCTTCCTATACCCATTTGTGTTAGCCTTGCCCCTGGTCTGTTTGGTAAGTTACATGTTTGTGGTAATACATGGTTATAGACTGGTGTCTGAATCTGTACACACATGGTTGTAGACTGGTGTCTGTACACACACGGTTGTAGACTAGTGTCTGTATGCACGTGGTTGTAAACTGGTGTCTGTACACACATGGTTGTAGACTGGTGTCTGTACACACATGGTTGTAGACTGGTGTCTGTACACACATGGTTGTAGACTGGTGTCTGTACACACATGGTTGTAGACTGGTGTCTGTACACACATGGTTGTAGACTGGTGTCTGTACACACATGGTTGTAGACTGGTGTCTGTACACACATGGTTGTAGACTGGTGTCTGTACACACATGGTTGTAGACTGGTGTCTGTACACACATGGTTGTAGACTGGTGTCTTTACACACATGGTTGTGGACTGGTTTCTGAAGCTGTGCAAACACAAAGTTATAGACTGGTTTTTGAAACTGTGCACACACATGGTTATAGACTGGTTTCTGAAACTGTATAAACACAAGGTTATAGACTGGTTTTTAAAACTGCACACACATGGTTATGGACTGATTTCTGAAACTGTACAAACACAAGGTTATAGACTGGTTTCCTCAAACTGGGCACACACATGGTTACTTAACTATGCACACACATGGTTATAGATTGGTTTCTCAAACTGTACACATATTGTCTTCTCATATTGTAAACCTCAGCTGAGTGGGAAATGAGACATAACCTCAGCTGAGTGAGATGTAAGACATAACCTCAGCTCAGTGAGATATGAGACATAACCTCAGCTGAGTGAGATGTAAGACATAACCTCAGCTCAGTGAGATATGAGACATAACCTCTGCTCAGTGAGATGTGAGACATAACCTCTGCTCAGTGAGATGTGAGACATAACCTCAGCTCAGTGAGATGTGAGACATAACCTCAGCTGAGTGAGATATGAGACATAACCTCTGCTGGGTGAGATATGAGACATAACCTCTGCTGAGTGAGATATGAGACATAACCTCAGCTTAGTGAGATATGAGACATAACCTCAGCTTAGTGAGATATGAGACATAACCTCAGCTGAGTGAGTTGTGTGGCATGTTATATTGCAGTGCTCTGCCCTGGGTGCCTCCTTCTGTTACCTACTATCCTACATGGTAGGGAGAAGAATCGTCCAGAGGTACTTCCCACAGAGGGCAGCCGACTGGAAGAGTCACGTGAGTACATTTTTGTTATTTAAAGTATTTTAAATACTGCTGCCTTATTTGGGTTGATGACAGAACCTGTTTCTTCACACCGCTCACCTACCTTTTTTGGGTTAATGACAGAACCTGTTTCTTCACACCGCTCACCTACCTTATTTGGGTTGATGACAGAACCTATTTCTTCACACCGCTCACCTGCCTTATTTGGGTTGATGACAGAACCTGTTTCTTCACACCGCTCACCTACCTTATTTGGGTTAATTACAGAACCTGTTTCTTCACACCCCTCACCTACCTTATTTGAGTTGATGACAGAACCTGTTTCTTCACACCGCTCACCTACCTTATTTAGGTTGATGACAGAACCTGTTTCTTCACACCGCTCACCTGCCTTATTTGAGTTGATGACAGAACCTGTTTCTTCACACCGCTCACCTACCTTATTTAGGTTGATGACAGAACCTGTTTCTTCGCACCGCTCACCTACCTTATTTGAGTTGATGACAGAACCTGTTTCTTCACACCGCTCACCTACCTTATTTAGGTTGATGACAGAACCTGTTTCTTCACACCGCTCACCTACCTTATTTGGGTTGATGACAGAACCTGTTTCTTCGCACTTTTCACCTACCTTATTTGGGTTAAGGACAGAACTGGTTTCTTCACACCGCTCACCTACCTTATTTGGGTTGATGACAGAACCTGTTTCTTCACACCGCTCACCTACCTTATTTGGGTTGATGACAGAACCTGTTTCTTCACACCGCTCACCTACCTTATTTGAGTTGATGACAGAAACTGTTTCTTCACACCGCTCACCTACCTTATTTGGGTTGATGACAGAAATTGTTTCTTCACACCGCTCACCTACCTTATTTGGGACATGACAGAAATTGTTTCTTCACACCGCTCACCTACCTTATTTGAGTTGATGACAGAAACTGTTTCTTCACACCGCTCACCTACCTTATTTAGGTTGATGACAGAACCTGTTTCTTCGCACCGCTTACCTACCTTATTTGCCGTTCTCTGGAAATATCTACTCTTTTTTCTCTAGTCTGTGGACTAAGACATCAGCTAAAGTCAAAATTATCCCTGTACCCACTGTCTCTGTTGCCACTTTCCTCACTATCCTTCTTGTGTACGCACTGAACAACACTAGGGAAGTGGAGATCTCTAGTGGGATCGGCTGGTATACAAGTTTGGAGCAGCCTGAGCCTAGGCAAAAGATACTTTACTGTTGATACAGAACTGCTGCAGCCCAGGGCCTGACCTCCATGTCCATAAATGTGTACTGTAAAACATCTAACCCTGATTTAGCATCATATAGATCTAGTGCCACCACCGCTGTTTCATGCTTATACTGAAACCTCTAATATGTGTCCTAAGTTGGAATTTTTGTTAGGTATCTTTTCTTGATCGCTCTCAGTAAGAGTAAAGGTGTCCACGACATGGAGGTGGCAACCATCAAATCTAGCCACACCAGCGACAGTCCGCAAGTCTCTTGAAAATCATTTTAACTTTGGGCACATTAACACCTTGAGAACTGAACTGCTAAAGCAGTTTCATCTAAAATCCTAGGGGATTAAACTGCCCACATAGTTTTATCTAAAACCCTCCAGTTTTGGCCCCTGGCATTCTCCTGGAGTAATAATTCTCCTGTCTCACGTGTCTCATGAGTCTACTGACAAGACATCGACCTGGCTGTTTGAGATACTAACCTAAGTGATATTGTGTTTTTGTGTGGTATTGTTTGATTAATGTCTGTGCTGATGAAGGCTCTATAGCAGCAACGTTCAGGTTTTTGTGTGTTTATTATATTGTGAAGCTTGCTGATGTACTTTTCGTTCAGTTTTAAATCTTATTCATATGTCAGTATGAACTACTGTGTCAGTAGTTGTGTCAACATGAACAAGTGTGTCTTATCTGTGACCTGATTATGTCAGCAGGTTCTGTTGTAGAAATAGTTGCATTTTCCATCAGTTAATTTTGTGACTAAAACTGACATAAGCAACAGTGAATGTTGTTTTATTACAAGATGCCACATGCTTTGTCACATCCTTCTCATAACATCTCACATCCTTCTCATAACATCTCATATTCTTCTCATAACATCTCACATCCTTCTCATAACATCTCACATCCTTCTCATAAGATCTCGCATCCTTCTCATAACATCTCACATCCTTCTCATAAGATCTCACATTCTTGCTATGAATAGTCGCATAATGTCAGAATCAACAAAAATAGCTTGTTTCAGGTGGACAGACACAGAGAGCATCTGTTTAACTACATGTTGTTCCTGAGGATCACACCATTCCTGCCCAACTGGTTCATCAACATCACCTCGCCTGTAATAGACGTCCCCCTCTTCACGTTTTTCTTTGGGACAGCACTTGGTATGTATTACTGTCAGTTTATGGGTACAAGATGTGTATCACTTTAGTGTATAGTCACAACATATAAATCACTGGATTGTATGGTCACAACATATATATCACTGGATTGTATGGTCACAACATATATATATCACTGGAGTGTATGGTCACAACATATATATATTACTGGAGTGTATGGTCACAAAATATATATCACCGGAGTGTATGGTCACAACATATATATCACTAGAGTGTATGGTCACAACATATATATATCACTGGAGTGGTTGGCACATATATATATCACCCCCCCCCCCCCCCCCCCCCCCCCCAGCAACCCCACAAGGTTTTGAAAGAGGCGGGAGCACGAAGACAACTAATCAGACATCAAAAAGAGTTGGGGGGGGGGGGACAAGAGCATATTACCTGTAGATGTCAATTCTAGAAAAAGGGAGGGGGGGACGAGGGCATATGACCTGTAGATGTCTGTTCTAGCAGGGGGGGGGGGGGGAATGAGGGCAAATGAACTGTAGATATCTGTTCTAACAAGGTGGGGGGATGGAACGAGGGCATATGACCTGTAGATGTCTGTACTAGCAAAGGGGGGGGGGGGGAATGAGGGCAAATGAACTGTAGATATCTGTTCTAACAAGGTGGGGGGGGGGAACGAGGGCATATAACCTGTAGATGCCTGTTCTAGCAAAGGGGGGGGGGTGAATGAGGGCATATGACCTGTAGATGCCTGTTCTAACAAGGGGGGGGGGGGAATGAGGGCATATGACCTGTAGATGTCTGTTCTAACAAGTTGGGGGGGGGGGGGGGAAGAGGGCATATGACCTGTAGATGTCTGTTCTAGCAAAAGGGGGGGGGTGGATGAGGGCAAATGAACTGTGGATGTCTGTTCTAACAAGGTTGGGGGGGGGGGGGGACGAGGGCATGTGACCTGTAGATGTCTGTTCTAGCAAGGGGGGGGGGTTATTGAGGGCATATGACCTGTAGATGTCTGTTCTAGCAAAAGGGGGGGGGGGGGTTATTGAGGGCATATGACCTGAAGATGTCTGTTCTAGCAAAGGGGGGGAGGGGGTTATTGAGGGCATATGACCTGTAGAAGTCTGTTCTAAAAAAGGGGGGGGGGGGTATTGAGGGCATATGACCTGTAGATGTCTGTTCTAGAAAGGGGGGGGGGGTGAATGAGGGCATATGAACTGTAGATGTCTGTTCAAGAGACTAAGAGAGAGACACTGATAGACCAGCACAGAATAGACTAAGAGAGAGACTGATTAAACAGAACATAATAGACTGAGAGACACTGATAGACTAGCACAGAATAGACTAAGAGAGACTGATAAACCAGCACAGATAGACTAAGATAGAGACACTGATAGACTAGCACAGAATAGACTAAGAGAGAGACACTGATAGACCAGCACAGAATAGACTAAGAGAGACACTGATAGACTAACACATATAGACATTGATAGACCAGCAGAGATAAACTAAGATATACATTGATAGACCAGCACAGATAGACTGAGAGAGAGACATTGATAGACCAGCACAGATAGACTGAGAGAGAGACATTGATAGACCAGCACAGATAGACTAAGAGAGAGACACTGATAGACTAAGAGAGAGACATTGATAGACCAGCACAGATAGACTGAGAGAGAGACACTGATAGACCAGCACAGATAGACTGAGAGAGAGACATTGATAGACCAGCACAGATAGACTGAGAGAGAGACATTGATAGACCAGCACAGATAGACTAAGAGAGAGACATTGATAGACCAGCACAGATAGACTGAGAGAGAGACATTGATAGACCAGCACAGATAGACTGAGAGAGAGACATTGATAGACCAGCACAGATAGACTGAGAGAGAGACATTGATAGATCAGCACAGATAGACTGAGAGAGAGACATTGATAGATCAGCACAGATAGACTGAGAGAGAGACATTGATAGATCAGCACAGATAGACTGAGAGAGAGACTGATAGACCAGCACAGATAGACTGAGAGAGAGACTGATAGACCAGCACAGATAGACTGAGAGAGAGACTGATAGACCAGCACAGATAGACTGAGAGAGAGACTGATAGACCAGCACAGACTGAGAGAGAGACTGATAGACCAGCACAGATAGACTGAGAGAGAGACATTGATAGACCAGCACAGATAGACTGAGAGAGACATTGATAGACCAGCACAGATAGACTGAGAGAGAGACATTGATAGACCAGCACAGACTGAGAGAGACATTGATAGACCAGCACAGACTGAGAGAGAGACATTGATAGACCAGCACAGACTGAGAGAGAGACATTGATAGACCAGCACAGACTGAGAGAGAGACATTGATAGACCAGCACAGACTGAGAGAGAGACTGATAGACCAGCACAGATAGACTGAGAGAGAGACTGATAGACCAGCACAGACTGAGAGAGAGACTGATAGACCAGCACAGATAGACAGAGAGAGAGACTGATAGACCAGCACAGATAGACTGAGAGAGAGACTGATAGACCAGCACAGACTGAGAGAGAGACTGATAGACCAGCACAGATAGACTGAGAGAGAGACATTGATAGACCAGCACAGATAAACTAAGATATACACTGATAGACCAGCAGAGATAAACTAAGATATACACTGATAGACCAGCAGAAATAGACGGAGACATTGATAGACCAGCACAGATAGACTGAGAGAGAGACATTGATAGACCAGCACAGACTGAGAGAGAGACATTGATAGACCAGCACAGAGAGACTGAGAGAGAGACATTGATAGACCAGCACAGAGAGACTAAAAGTGTCATAGATAGATCACCCAAGAGTCACTGATAGTGAAAGCACGTGAACACAGCTGATGTTTGTCTAGAGTAACTTGTAGCTGTGTTGTGACTTTCAGGGGTGGCACCTCCGTCCTTTGTCTTCATTCAGGCCGGGACCACACTTCACAAGCTGACTTCAACCAGCGAGGCCTGGTCTTGGACCAATGTGGTCCTCTTGGGCATCTTTGCCCTGGTAGCTCTCCTACCTGTCCTCTTCAAGAAACAGTTGCGCACCAAGCTGGATTAATGAGTTTACTTTGTGATGATGATCGTCAAATATTGAATGTAATACAACTGTGTGTGTGTTTGTGTGTGAGAGAGAGCATGAGAATTTGCCTGTTAATATCGTCACTTGTCTGTTAGTGTCTTCATGTGCCTGTTAGTGTCTTCACGTGTCTGTTAGTGTCTTCACGTGCCTGTTAGTGTCTTCACGTGCCTGTTAATATCGTCACTTGTCTGTGTCTTTACGTGCCTGTTAGTGTCTTCACTTGTCTGTTAGTGTCTTCACGTGCCTGTTAATATCGTCACTTGTCTGTTAGTGTCTTCACGTGCCTGTTAATATCGTCACTTGTCTGTTAGTGTCTTTACGTGTCTGTTAATATCGTCACTTGTCTGTTAATATCGTCACTTGTCTGTTAGTGTCTTTACGTGTCTGTTAGTGTCTTTACGTGTCTGTTAGTGTCTTCACGTGCCTGTCCCTACTGAAGAGAAGAACATGAAGATCTGAGACTTCTTGGGTCAACAAATAAGGCAGCACTTGCTGATTGTCATGGCGACAGCTCTTGGCTGCTCCCAGTCACTGGTTATAGGGCTCTAACTATTTGATATTTCTCACACATACCAGAGACATGAGTATTGCTTGTATGCATTATCTCCCACACATACCAGAGACATGAGTATTGCTTGGGGGCATTATCTCCCACACATACCAGAGACATGAGTATTGCTTGGGGGCATTATCTCCCACACATACCAGAGACATGAGTATTGCTTGGGGGCTTTATCTCCCACACATACCAGAGTCATGAGTATTGCTTGGGGGCAGTACCTCCCACACATACCAGAGACATGAGTATTGCTTGGGGGCATTATCTCCCACACATTCCAGAGATGTTAGTATTGCTTGTCAGCAGTACCTCCCACACATACCAGAGATGTTAGTATTGCTTGTCAGCAGTACCTCCCACACATACCAGAGATGTGAGTATTGCTTGTCAGCAGTACCTCCCACACATACCAGAGACATGAGTATTGCTTGGGGGCAGTATCTCCCACACATACCAGAGACATGAGTATTGCTTCCAGAGATGTGAGTATTGCTTGGGGTCAGTACCTCCCACACATACCAGAGATGTGAGTATTGCTTGTGGGCATTATCTCCCACACATACCAGAGATGTGAGTATTGCTTGTGGGCATTATCTCCCACACATATCAGAGATGTGAGTATTGCTTGTGGGCAGTATCTCCCACACATACCAGAGACACACACATTCTATGTGTATCAGATTTAGTGGAGATACACACACATTGTATGTATCAGATTTAGTGGATACACAGATTGTATGTATATCAGATCGAGTAGACACACACATTGTGTGTGTATCAGGTCCAATGAATACATACATTGTGTATGTATCAGATCTAGTGGATACACACACAAACATTGTATGTATATCAGATCTGATAGATAAACACACACACACACACTGAATGTGTATCAGATCTAGTGGACACACACACACATTGTATGTGTATCAGATCTAGTGGATACACACATACACATTGTTTTTGAACCAGATCTAGTGGATACACACACACTGAATGTGTATAAGATCTAATGGATACACACACACATTGTATTTGTATCAGATCTAATGGATACACATACCCATTGTATTTGTATCAGATCTAGTGGATACACACACACATTGTATTTGTATCAGATCTAATGGATACACACACACATTGTATTTGTATCAGATCTAGTGGATACACACACACATTGTTTTTGTATCAGATCTAGTGGATACACACACACTGTATCTATCAGATCTAATGGATACACACACATACACACATTGTATCTGTCTGATCTAGCAAACACACACATTGTATTTGTAACAGACCTAGTGGATACACACACATTGTATCTGTCTCATCTAGCAGACACACATGCACACATTGTATTTGTAACAGATCTAGTGGGTGCACACACTGTCGTAGAAAGGGAGAGAGAGAAAAGGGAGAGTTTGCCGATTGAAGCTGAATGTATATAGTCAGACTTTGTAATTTTACACATCATTCCAGAGATCTGAGGTTGATGTGTTTGCATTGATGTGTGTGTATGGTTACTGTTGTGTGTATGGTTACTGTTGTGTGTATGGTTACTGTTGTGTGTGTGGTTGATGTGTTTGCATTGATGTGTGTGTATGGTTACTGTTGTGTGTGTGGTTGATGTGTTTGCATTGATGTGTGTATACTGTTGTGCGTGTGGTTGATGTGTGTTTATGGTTACTGTTGTGTGTGTGTGGTTGATGTGTTTGCATGGTTACTGTTGTGTGTGTGGTTGATGTGTGTTTATGGTTACTGTTGTGTGTGTGGTTGATGTGTGTGTATGGTTACTGTTGTGTGTGTGGTTGATGTGTGTCTATGGTTACTGTTGTGTGTGTGGTTGATGTGTGTTTATGGTTACTGTTGTGTGTGTGGTTGATGTTAATGTGCCCAGAACCATATGGATGGTAGGGTGTGAGAGATAAACAGGTCTTCAGTTGGATGTTTATCTGATTAGTTGCTGTGAACACGTTATCACTGTCAGCTTGTCTGTTGTGTACACTTTATCAACTGTTCTGTCACTTGATCTGTTGTGTACACTTTATCAGCTGTTCTGTCACTTGATTTGTTGTGTACTCTTTATCAGCTGTTCTGTCACTTGATCTGTTGTGTACATTTTATCAGCTGTTCTGTCACTTCATCTGTTGTGTACACTTTATTAGCTGTTTTGTCACTTCATCTGTTGTGTACACTTTATCAGCTGTTCTGTCACTTCATCTGTTGTGTACACTTTATCAACTGTTCTGTCACTTAGTCTAGTTGTGTATACTTTATCAGCTGTTCTGTCACTTAGTCTAGTTGTGTATACTTTATCAGCTGTTCTGTCACTTCATCTGTTGTGTATACTTTATCAGCTGTTCTGTCACGTAGTCTAGTTGTGTACACTTTATCAACTGTTCTGTCACTTAGTCTAGTTGTGTATACTTTATCAACTGTTTTGTCACTTAGTCTAGTTGTGTATACTTTATCAACTGTTCTGTCACTTAGTCTAGTTGTGTATACTTTATCAGCTGTTCTGTCACTTAGTCTAGTTGTGTATACTTTATCAACTGTTCTGTCACTTAGTCTGTTTTTTGCACTTTATCAACAGTTCTGTCACTTAGTCTCTGGTGTACAGTTTATCATCTGTTCTCCCACTTAGTTTAGTTGTGTACACACTTTATCAACTTTTCTGTCACATAGTCTGGTTGTGTACACTTTATCAGCTGTTCTGTCATATAGTCTGATTGTGTACACTTTATGAAATGTTCTCCCACTTAGTTTAGTTGTGCACACACTTTATCAACTGTTCTGTCACTTGGTCTGTTGTGTACACTTAACTCTTCTGTCATATAGTCTGGTTGTGTACATTTTTTCAACTGGTTTGTCACTTTGTTAGGTTTTGTACACTTAATCAGCTGTTCTGTCGCCTAGTCTGTTGTGTACACTTTATTAAATGTTCTGTCATTCAGTTTGACTGCACTAGTAAAAGTGAAGATCCTTTTTTACGCCTAATTTTTACAGACCAATCGGCACTAGGTAGGTAATGTGGTCAGCATTACACCGGCCGTTGTTACTTCCCCAGGACATACATCCTGGTACCCATTTAAAACTGGGTCGACCTGCAACGCCTCATGACCAGTTCTTTGTAGAGATGACCAGCCCCTTGTAGAGATGGCCACTCCCTTGTAGAGATGGCCACTCCCTTGTAGAAATGACCAGTTCTTTGTAGAGATGACCACTCCCTTGTAGAGATGGCCACTCCCTTGTAGAGGTGGCCACTATCTTGTAGAGATGGCCAGTCCCTTGTAGAGATGGCCAGTCCCTTGTAGAGATGGCCAGTCCCTTGTAGAGATGGCCACTCCCTTGTAGAGATGGCCACTCCCTTGTAGAGATGGCCACTCCCTTGTAGAGATGGCCAGCCCCTTGTAGAGATGGTCAGCCCCTTCGCGAAATAACCACCCCTTTCTAGAAGGACATTTTTTCATTGGATAATCGGAATATCGCTGCCACAGAAATATCATCAGATAAACAGTATGTTTCTGTAACAGATATGGACATTATATCATCTTTGGTTGCACTGAATATGTACACACAAATATATCAAATCAGAGATTGGCCAATGTGTTCTGTTTCCTTCACTTTTTTTTTGCTGTTTGTTTTCCTTTGCTTGTTTGTGCTGTCAGTTTTCCTTCGCTCGTCTGTTCTGTCTGTTTCCTTCACTTATTTGTGCTGTCTGTTTCCATCACTTGTTTGTACTGTCTATTTTCTTCACTTATTTGTACTGTCTGTTTCCATCACTTGTTTGTGCTGTTTTCCTTCACTTATTTGCGCTGTTTCCATCACTTGTTTGTGCTGTCTGTTTCCTTCACTTAATTATGCTGTCTGTTTTCCTTCACTTATTTGTGCTGTCTGTTTTCCTTTAATTGTTTATGCTGTCTGTTTTCCTTCACCTATTTGTGCTGTCTGTTTCCTTCACTTATTTGTGCTGTCTGTTTCCTTCACTTATTTGTGCTGTCTGGTTTCCTTCACTTATTTATGCTGTCTGGTTTCCTTCACTTGTTTATGCTGTCTGTTTTCCTTCACTTGTTTATGCTGTCTGGTTTCCTTCACTTATTTATGCTGTCTGGTTTCCTTCACTTGTTTATGCTGTCTGTTTTCCTTCAGTTGTTTATGCTGTCTGGTTTCCTTCACTTGTTTATGCTGTCTGGTTTCCTTCACTTGTTTATGCTGTCTGTTTCCTTCACTTGTTTGTGCTGTCTGTTTCCTTCACTTATTTGTGCTGTCTGTTTCCTTCATTTTATGCTGTCTGTTTCCTTCACTTGTTTGTGCTGTCTGTTTCCTTCACTTATTTGTGCTGTCTGTTTCCTTCAGTTTATGCTGTCTGTTTCCTTCACTTGTTTGTGCTGTCTGTTTCCTTCACTTATTTGTGCTG